ATTTTGTATTGGGGAGTAATTTATAACGACGTAGTGACTTGGAAAATGATTTAGGATAGTGGCTATTCTCGACCTTACACCGACCCATTTTGAAAGAAATATGTCACACAGACAGTATGCTATTGATGAACTTCTCATACATTTAAAGAAATTATTTGTTGATTATGTCCATGAAGTCTCTGAAACCAGAGAAACCAAAAAACGAATCCAACTAACCAAGAGACTAGACACACGAATGCCTGAATCCCATTTTTCCAATGACCGGGAAAGGTTCAACTTTTCAAGTGTTGCTTTAGATAAGACTTTTAAGGAATTTTTGTCACTGGGTCTAAAATTTTAGGTTTGTTTGTTTAAGATTATTAAAAAACTGACAAGTTATTTAAAGATTCTGCAATGTGTGACTTTATGGTTTTTCTTCCACTTTTGAATGCAAAATGCCTCTTTTTATCAGATATAGTAAGTATTTACCCTTTTCCACGGATTCAGTACCTTTCTACCCATCTATCAAATCAAAAATGTTTGAATTTGCTTTCAGGAGGAAGATGAGAACCCATCAAATATCGATTGCACTTGATTTAGGACTCTTCAGAACAGTTAACTCACAACCGCATAAAAGACTTAACTCATTACCAAGAATCTTCTGCATATTGTTAACTTTCATCACTTTTTTAAAAGCGGTGGGCTACCTGAGCTTCCATCCAACACAAGGCATCATATTTTCTCTAATCTTAATCGATGTTCTTGAGTTTCAGAATGTAGTTATGCGCATTCTGATCAGCATTAAAAGTACCAGTGTGCATTTCTGGGGAACTAAGGAATAATATCATTTGGGATCAGTTTGTACTTCACATCAAACAGAATTGTGCCGTATGGTGTACTAAGACTGCTGTTTAACTAGAAGATCTTGGATGAAAAGAAAATATTGTGTACATTTAAGTACACTGCGTAAAAATTTTGTCTAGGATAAAGCTGTTATGATTATAATTATTGTTGGTAAAGGTTGGTCATCCTCTGATGTCACTTCTGACTGACAGTATACGCATTCTTCTCACCTGAACTCAGTTATCATAGCTTCTTCTCGCAAACATACATAAAATTTGCCTTGCCATTGTCATTAGTAAGTACTACATCTCCATCCAATAGAAGGATTTGAAGAGAATCAATCTATTTAAAGGTATTTTTTCTTTAGAAACCGGAATCAGAGAATGGATTTATAACCAATTTAGAATAAAAGAAATTACGAAACTTCATCCTCATTTATGACAGCTCTTCAGCTGACTTGGAAGGATACTGCGCTGATACTTCTGAGAACCTCTAGTCGAATGAATTTGGTTTGCTTAAGAGGCCCACATGCAGATTACACCCAGTTACAAAGCCAGTCACACCATGTTGATATACCCATTGTAGATCCAATATCAGTTCAGGCTGATAACCGATTATTTTACCTAAACATCACTAATTTGTTTTCCCTTGTTAAAGAGCCATCAGTTAAATAATTTTTGAAAATTTCCCATGAATTCGTAATTATTTTGATGACTGAAGTTAGTCTGAAATCTCCGCAATGAAATTTAAATCCTGAAGAACAACCAGACTTATAGAACCGACTGACAATCATTTAGTAAGAAGAAGGAAGCCCATTTGTAATAAAGATAACGCTACTTTTGGCATTTTTCTTGATCATATGATGACATTTAAAGTAATTATAGCGTTTTGTAAAGAAATATCTAATATTGCAAATTAACAGTTCTTATTATTAAACAGAAGCAAGGACTCTGTCGAAAAAAGCCTCTTTTTCAGCGATTTCACTATTATAAAGGTGTTCTGCGGAGCAAAGTTCCTATATTTGCTCACTTGTCATATCTCTACGTAATATGCCTTAAAAGATAACATTGTTTCCATCTGCGATGTTAATTTTTAATTACAGAAACAGGAAACTAAGATCTAAGTTCAACTTCTACTTAGATAAATGAGGCGAAATCATGCATCAGCGAAAAGTCTTTAGATTCTAAGATTAGTTTAAAGCAACTTTCACTATTACACCTGGATTAAAACAATGTGCGAGTCAAATGATTTCAATACTCAAATCCACAACTTGCAACAGTTGTTCCGTTTGTTTGAGGTAGACCACATATTGTAGTCGGGATAACTTGGTTTCCAAAGGAAACTACGGTGAAATTTCACCACTTGAACTGTGTAATTTGCAAATTGCCAACCATTCAGCAAATTGTGAATTCGCCTTTGATATCACCAATTCGGATGTGTTGAACTGATCCGGCTCTCTGGTCTGAGTCAAACCAGGTACACCACCAATGAACCCGGCTCCAAACTAGCGAAACGGCCGCCATACGTTTAGATCACCTCAGTCTGGCTAGCGAGCACTGCTGGTTGATATGAGTGCTATGCAACTATTTGTCTCAATCAGCCAGCAGTATATAGATGTCAATACTTCTTGATATTTTGTTGAGTGCCACATGAATTTTTAGGCATTCGCCAATTGGACAAATAAAAAGTGAACTTCACATATAAACTCTATGTGCTAATGCAAGAAGTTGTTGACTGGATGTTGATGGTTCTTAGGGCTAATCAATGCCTACGGGATTCAAGCATGCATTACTCAGTAGCATTATCATTTAGCTATTAAGGTTGCAACTAATCTCTCTGTATGAATGATGGGTATGTACCGAATTCTATAAAATCAGGTTCACCATGCGCTTAATAAAGTATATGATATAACATTATGCATCATGGTAAACTGGGATTTGCTGAAATTAAGTATTAGTGTGTTGAGCCATGCACCATGTTCATTTATGAACCAGCAAAGACACAGGATGTTAGATACGATTTCGCGAGTATAAAATATCCTAAATAACCTTCTCTTTTTCCCCCCTTAGAGTAACAGTTCATTTATCCAAAAAAACAGGTTTTCATGTGAAATGGACTAAAATAAACTTGTAAAAAAATGATTGTTTACATTTCACTATCAGTAGAAATATTTTCAACTGATAATTTTAAAATTCCTTACGATGCTTAGAGGTTTCAACTCTAAATTTACCTGTGAAGCTTGGAGGAAGAGATTTGAAATACAACGCACCTAATAATCTCTTATCTATATAAAATATAACCATTATAAATATGTATGTATATATACATATCCGCCTTTAAAAACTTGAGGATTTCTGTGGTAGATATTGGGAATCACAGTAATCTGAGAACAAAATCATTTAGAGCAATCAAGGTGTTTTACTTTTAGCTACTCTTGTAAACTATAGGTGACTAGATGGTGCGTTGTTAACATTGAAATACTTTTTCAAGACATTTAACCGAAGCTCCCTCTAGCTCCTAAAGTACATTTGTCCCAGGTTGTTGAATTTCTTAAAAGAATATTTCAGCTAAAACAAATTTCCATGGCTTGCATAACTCAAAATAGAAAACAACACGATAAGATGAAGGTTTTCTAATTTTTACATGAAAAAATAAATCAACAGGCTAGTTGTTTAACTCTCAGATGAAGTTTTACTCCATTTCTCATCTACCGATCAAATTAACGTTGAAAAACTCTTTAAATAAAATTTTTCTTTTTACTTATTATGCGTTCATTAGGTTAGACTAGATCCAATTAATCAGTGTTTAATAGGTCTTCAAATGACATTAATTTTGTCAAATATGCTGACGACCTGACTGTATCTTTGCCTGTCAAATTCAAAGTGTTGCTTTCTATCAGAAATCAGCCTGTGGTCCAAGGAAAACGGTCTTACCTTAAACCCCTCAAATGCCAAACAGTCAATTTCACCTTTAGGCATAAATGTGACCTAAACAAACTGGTTAGCTCTCACGAGGTGTGCAACATAGATGGCACTGAAATAGAAACTTTCTGGTGTCTCATATCTTGACGATTTTAAGAAAATATTCCGTCTTACCTTCTACATAAGAAGTTAAGACATTCTGTATACCCAACTTACTCTACAATTCTTAACTCTCGATTCTGCTATTATTTATTGTCCCCCTTAGTTTTCCCGGCTACTGAAGAAAGATTATACTTATTACGCAGGATGTTAAAAGTTGTCAGCAGGGTAGCAACGTGCCACTTAACCAGCTGTTAATATTCTGGTTGACAGGCATATGGAATCATGTGAAAAATGGGCCAAATCCATTTTATCTAACTCACACCACCCTCTTCACTCACAACTCTCCCCTTGCATCTCATCAGACAAAACCAGAAGCCTATATAGAAAACTTATGCTCGCACCAGCAAGTACAAAAACTCAACATACCCTACTACTCGTGTTCTGTGCGATAAAGAAGCATAGCGTGATACTATATATTAATAGTCAGTAGATGACTGTCTTTCCAATCTTCATTATAGGTACAACATTTCTTCTTTCTTTTCCTTTTCTCTCCTTTTTTTCCTTATGTGCTGCTTTGTTTTTCTTCGCTTACCAGTAAATATGAAGCACTACTTTCTAACACTTCAACCTGTTCATTCTTGTAATGCAATATGTTGTTTCATAATGAACTAGATTCCTTATCTATGTGAATTTTATTTATTGATATGTACTAACTGGATGCAATACTGTAGTAAAATCTGAGAATTCATTCTGTATCACAAGTACTGTTTGAAAGCAGATAAAGACTTTTGGCTTATTTTCTTCTCCATTACAACTCACACTCTCACTCTTTAACACCTTTCTCATTAAACTCAGAGAAGAGATTTAGCCTGAGTATCAGTTTGCTTGCAAACTTAAGGATCAACTTCTAAGGGGACACTGAAATAAATGGTTATTTAATCATGATACCATTTAGAAGGTCACATTTACAACATCGTATTTCATACCATAAATTTCTGGGTTGTTCATTTTTAAGAGCTCTATAATTTTATGGAAAATGTTGTCTTATTTAAAGCACAATAAAAATCATCCTAAAAATCATACTTCTCAAAAAACAAAAACAATTAATACACCCCTCAAAAATGTTAAAGAGAAACCATTGTAAAAAGTACTTACCGAGAAGTATTTTCTTTGCACGCCATTGAACTTTACCATGTTGATTAAGAACAACACATTGCATATTCACTGTATGCCCTAGTGGTATAGCATATTGTTCTGCTGGCAATACATCAAAACACTGGATTCTTTTCTGACGTTCTTCAGTAGTACATCGATTCGATTGGATAACACGTGCAGCAGAATCTGTAAGAATTGTAGGATCAAATAATGGGTCAGATAGTAGTGGATGTTTAGTATTATCAATATTCTCTGGTTGCATATCATTTAAATAAGAAAATTTATAATGTTTATTAAAAGTACCAAAAGAGGCTGAATTGTCATCTAAAACGTTTACATTGGAAAAATTCTTCTTCTGTCGTATTAATGTAACATTCTGTAGTAATTTATGCTGTAATTCCAGTTTAGTATTACTATAATTATGACTAAGTAAATTAGATCCAAGCGAGTTGAATTCACATAAGATTAAATCCCCATTTGTTAAAAATAAAACTAAAAATGATAAAATCCGATCTATACACATCATGATTAAGAATGTCAATTAGTCATATTTCATAAAATCAGTAGAAGAGGGGAAAAAAAAGCTATTCCGTAAATTCAACTTTATGCATATATTTATAAAATTTCACACATTATACTATTCTATCATTTCCCGCACATGAGATATTTAATTTTCTCCTATTGCTACAATATTACTGGTCTATCAACAACCAATCAGAGGCTAGCAGAATATTGACAGCTTGCCAACACGCCTTCACTTAATTCCCAATAAAGATCTTCCTTTTTGTTTGTTGTTAATATTTCACGGTCACGGTTGAATTAATTATGTTCTGTTATTTAATCTGTGTTTAAATAATGCAGCCTTGAAAGTGTTACGAAGTGTAAAGGGTAAACCTGTTTATCTGTATGAGAAAGTTTGCCCACTACACGCTGGAAACTTATACAGACGTATTTCAGTTGTATACAAATAAAATGATAAATGAGTCGTTAAAATACTGTTTGATGAGTGAACAAACTGTTTTAGAGATCAAGAAGAATGGAGAATGAGTTTTGATTAAAGTTATCTGAAGATAACGCTAAACACAGACAGATGGAAGGATATGAATTGAAAAGTTTGGCTGTAGGAAAAAGAGTTTGCAAAATACTTCATTAAAAAAATTCAACAAATAAATGGGGAGACATTTTATGATACATTGGATTGTTGTTTTACTCTCAGATTTACACACCTCGTTTGTTTTACTAAATAGACGGAAACTAATAAATGACTGTTATTGTTCAAGGAAGTGATTTTATTAAAATTTTATGTCAATCAATAGATGAGGCCCTCATTTTTACACAAAACTATCAAAGTCTTTGAATTATTGTTTAATTTATTTAGAAATCAGCAAATTAATTAACAAGAAATAAAGTTAAACAATCCGCCTTTCAATTTTATGTATTAAAAGATTGAAAGAAAGGTGTTTTATAGTTGAAACCATTTAAAATGAAAAACAACTTTGGGTAATAAAGAGAAAGTGATATAAAATAAAAGGTTTTAATTCGTCTAACTGTCTGTCGTATCACGCATGCGACTACATTTTAATAAACCGGATGTTAATGGTTGATTTTTCCCTAAAGGCAGAAGTAGTTTGTCAGGAATTATTGATAATATGAAATTATAGACATTTAAGTTGACATAACAACTGTCCAAAGTGAAAGCAAACAACAATAAAAATACAAACAAATTAAAGATCTATCAGATTCACGTGCTGATTGATGGCTTACCAACAGTAAGTACCAAAACTAAAAAAGGACGTGTTCATTTATAAAGTAACTATGAAACCATAGGTAAGGATATTTATGGAAGAGACATTATAATTCCTACAGTTAAAAGTATAAAGCTATAGGTATTTAATGGGTAGATTTAGTTAACGTACAAGGTCAGATAGAGAACTAATGAATAAACGATTGTTTGTTTCTACGAGTTTGACCACGAATTGATATCATTTAGAGAATCATTGGAAACCAGGGAGTACTGGACAGCTGTTTCATCCTAGTTTGGGAATCAACGGCAGTACGCACCCACCACGGGTGGTTCAAACCCAGGACCTTCCGGTTACAAAGCAAGCTTGTGTACCACTCAGCCACTGGGACCCGATTCAATGGCCAGCCCATGAATTCTAACTTCTAGCCATTCGTGATTAAGCGCTACCACCAACCAATGTCGTCCGTGGGACATTCATCCTCACACTTGACTGGATGGACGTCACTGGTTACGACTTCTCAGTAGAACTCCGGGGAACTATGTCTTGTTCCAATTTTAGCGAGCATCAGATTAATTTTCGAGAGTTTGATTTTTAATTTGTTTTAATTTAGAGCTCTTCTGAGGCACTCAGCTATAATGTTGCTGTACATGGGTGAAAGAACAGTTAATTTTTTCAAATTCACAAAATGGTAGCATTATCACTCGATGTGGTTGGGGAATCACTGTTCACTAGGTCACATCAAACACCTCAGAAAACCATATAAAATTAACAAACGAGTTTGCAAATAACAATTTTATTCTGCTGTATGACTCTTTCCCTCCCTTACGAAGTCGTGCGTACACTGTTGTGAGTACTCCCTAAAAATAAGGCAAAATGTGTACTCACTGTCACCTAAGTTTCGATAGTTTTATCACTGACATTAGTATGAGAGGGAGTCCATTTAAAGAAGGTTTCTCCGTGAAAATGAAAGGAATAATCTTAGCTTAGATTTCATTCGAATAATAAGAAAACGTTAACTAGATTGTGACTTATAATACGAAAGAAGATATAATGGACGAATTACATAATAGAAGTGTCAATAGATGACGATATTATATTTCAGTTAGTTAGTATGAATACAGTAACAACTTTTTTCCTAAGTTCTTTGAATGCTTCACTTAGCCAACTCATTAAAAACTACAGGAAAATGTGTGGTAATAGGTAATCGACAATAATGATTGTATTACACCGAAAAATAGACAAATCCGTAAACCACTGGTTACCAGGCTTTTATATAAATATATATATATATATTCTTACGAATTATATTTTTCTGGTGAATGCTGGTGGTCAAGTACAATCCCATTTAAGATATACCTACCAGGTGTAATCTAATACATCCACAATAAAATCATATTTATTAATTATTTGTCTCCATAATAATCTCTCATCCATTGTAAACATTGTGTCTTTTAAAAGGGTATGCGTAATGCTACAGGAAATCTTGTAGTTTTCTTTTTTTAAAGTCTACTAGTTCATTAACATTGATAAGAAATATTGATGTAAGAGAAATCAGAAAACTGTCAGTCTTATTTTATATATGTATATATATTCTATATTTAGAAATGACAGAAAGCCCATATATATATGCATTTAGTGCTCAAATTGATTGCAACTGATAAAGTTTGCCGATTCTATGATTACTAACTAGTACAGTACTAATAACTGATCAGATACAGAGAACTCAACATGTGACAAGTGATTAGTATTACAGAGTGAGACATTCAAATTTGTCTATGTTCGCCTGATATTTTGCCAGGAATGTAGACCTCCTGGAACTGTGTACCTGTGCCATTACAGCCCAAATCTGTGAACTACAGCCCATAGGATTAATCAATAATCACTGGAATGTCTACCTCATAGGTCGATAAAGTATACAAATGGTGCTTTAGGGAAATTCTAAAATTGAGGTTTATGTTGTATTGATACATGCAGGAGTTCTGCACATTTCGTAAACTGAATGCTCAAATTCATATGCTGTATTCAGATTCCAACGCCAAATTGTCATCAACTTCAAACATATGAGATCTGTTCTGCAAAAAAGTGGAATTCATAATAACCGCCAAAAAAATTCAACAGCTCACAACAACGAAATGTATAAGTGTCATTTTCTCATAAATATAAACAAAAACTACAATGCTTTTTCCAAATTTTCGGGCAATACAAAAAGCAAGTTTTCCTATGGGTTGAATCTAACTTTACATAGTCAGTAAAATGTTGGGGAATGGGACAAGACGTAATTTCATGATAACGCCAAACTTGCCACAAGAATATCAGTAACAACAACAAACTAACCAAACATCTATTACCTAAAAAATGTGCAGAGGGAAATAGAGATGGATGGCACACGCCTGGAGGGACCCCTGAGTACCATCACGCCCTAAGCCCTCTAGTGAAACACAGATAGGAAACGACGAGTTGCGCGTCCGAGAGTAACGTGGAGGAGATCGTTTGAGAAGGAGATGAGAGCCTATTGCAAATCGTGGAGCCATCCAGAGAAGATTGTAGAGAACACGATGAAATGGAGATGATCTTTTGAAGCCCTATGTTCTACTTGGAGCCTCAAGAATAATGAATAACTGAAATTAACTGCGAAAAATCTATACTGTTTTTGTTTTTCAAAATAAATACAATGTCTCATGTATTACTTTATCAAACAATCAATTTTCAAGTAAATAAAACGAAAACTTATCAATTCATTGAAATGTTGATTCCTTCTCTTTTATTTTGACGTTTTTCATCTTTCCGTTGTTAGTTTTGTTTTGAAGAGTATGAAAAAAGGAATTTCAATCTTTTTCTTTTCAAGGAAAGATGAATCACTTTTTGATAAAAAACGATAAGGAGATTGAAATTGAAGCACGCATACCTGTTCCGTATCTTGACCCTAGATGTCACTACCTCTTATCCGATAGTATTTTGTTCTCCTTATATAAATAATTCTACTATAAATTGATACTGCATAGGGCTTTATCTTATAGGGTAGAGGATAAAGTACAATAAAGGTCAATTTGTTAGGGTTTGAGGTTTGAATAGACTTAAATACCTTACCCATCATCTCTACAATTGATATAAACTCTTAGTAGATTAAACTTTTAAAATTTAAGCAGAATGAATACTAAAAAGGGTAATATGTTGTGTGTCACGGAATAGTTCACCTCTTTAGATTTATCCTGCAGTAAAAGAAGACTATGTGGTAAAGAAAGATTTCACAAGGCTTGTTTTTCCATTAATTATTCGGGATAATTCTGTATTGGTCGCTCATACTTTGATTTTGAAAAACGTCTGCTAGGAAGTACATTTTCTAAATATTGCTGATTCATTGTGGGACACAAACAACTAGTCCACTTAAACAAGCGATTTAAGTCAGTGGATATACAAAAAGAACACTTTCACCAATTTATG